GGACACAAATTTTTAGAGAGTAGGTTTAGATTAGACATCCGCAAGAACTACTTCACAGTTAGGGCGGCTAGGAGCTGGAACCAACTTCCAAGGGAAGTGGTGCTGGCTCCTACTCTGGGGGTCTTTAAGAAGAGGCTTGATGACTACCTGGCTGGACTCATTTGAGTCCAGTCTTTTCTCCCGCCCAGGCGGGGGGTCGGACTTAAAGATCTACAAGGTCCCTTCTGACCCTACTTCTATGATTCTATGATTGACCTCTTCAAATCTCTCACTAAACAGGGTATTTTCTAATCCTCTAAAGTATTCTCATGGCTTTTCTCTGAACTTCCTGCAATGCATTTACATCTCTCTCATCCTGTGGGCACCAAAATTGGACACAGCATTCCAGCAGCAGTTGCTCAAGTGCAGAGGTAACAACCTCACTGTTTCTACTTGAGATTATTTTGTGACCTCTTTATAAATAATAAATTCAGTTACCAGTAAATACAAAACGTTTCTTAAAGATAAATGTAAACCTACAAAAGCAACTAACCAAGAAATTGCATCTTAAGTGAATGATACAGATTTCTGCATTATACAGTCCTTACGTCATTAGTATGGTGGAAGTAGCTACTATTATATTTGCCTTGATCCTGTATCCCTTACTCATGTAGTTTGCTCAGTTGACTTCAGTTGGGATTAGCAGTGCGATCCAATCCGATAATTCTTTGAGAATTTTGTATCAGAGTATTAGAGACCCTCATAAGAGGGGGCTATAGAATTGGTTTGTTTTTAAAACTCATGAGTCCAGTGACAAATGTGTGCAAAGGACAAAAACTTGTATGTGCTTATGCTTAACTCTGCATTTGTGGTACACTATTGACTTTAATGGACTGCTTATATGCGCACAGTCAAGTGCAGGCTTAAGCAGGTGCAAGATTGGACAATGGAACACCAAGTTCCTAATAATATTAAAAACATGAAACTATTCATATAAGTGAAATACATTTGTCTTAGGCTATAACCACAGGAAAACTTGAGTTAAGACAGTCATAGTATAATCAGATCTTAAATTATATTGATTCAAAGAAATCTGAGTTCAAGAAGTTTGAAAGAAAAATAAAAAATGTGATCACTTATAACTGAAAAATCCTACCTGTTGTTTGAAAAACGATAAAGTAATTTGAAATAAGAATGTTTAAAGTAGCCAAAATAAAGTTTTGGCCTTTTGTGTTTTGGGAGGGCTGGTTCACATGTTGATAAATCCTCTACTGGGGCTATGTGCTCCGTATGTGCATGAAGACAAGAGTGAGTTTTACACAAATTCTTGCTATTACTGTTGCATATGCAGTGTAGAACTGTGTGAAATGTAAATAGGTGGCACAGCAGGAAAGCAGTGTGTAGACACATGCAAACTTAACATTATTTACCAGAGCTGTGCTTTGGTTTATTTCCATAAGTCAAAATTAACACTGGTCGAGCAAAAGTACTCTATCAACCTCACTCTACTTTGTTAAGCTCCAGGCACAGCTGTCCTAGCAAATCCTAATGGAAGATGATAGGGATATGTTAATCTTTTATTCTTAATATTTACAGCTGGATTTAGTAGTTTTAAAGTACCTACACAGTTGTTTTTATCAAACACAGCTCTCATCTCTAAGATAGATAATATTTTGCAGGACATTTACATTTATTACTATGATAATCTGAATTTAGAACGTAGGGCTACCTTAATGTGTTAGCATTTCTTAAAAATTATCTGAATTCAGTTTTGTTTAATAAGCAATTAAATACCCAAAATCAAAATGTGTATCTATCAGCTGTAAGCCAAACAAATACCATTTTTTTGCATACTGACAATATTAAACTGTTTGCTAACTGGGTAGTTTTTAATTGAAATTCTTTAACAGGTGACCAGTCACTTCTGCTGAAAAATGATCTGAGCCTGCTTCTACTGATGTCAAAGCTTGAATCCCCGGAAAACTTAAAAGCAAGGAGTAGTTGGGTCCTCCTCCTCCTTACTGCTATCAACTATTAATAGATTAAGCAATAAAATTTTCAGGGACTTAAATTAAAGGATCTCATTTAGATGCTTGTGTCTACTTACATGCCTAAAAGGTGGAACAGGCTCTGGCTCCAAGTGATTGGCCAGTGTTATTCAGGAAGTCTGAGGCCGGGCAGGAGGAAAATCCAAGGCAGCATCCTGACCAGTACAATGTTCTTCCTTCTTCAGAGATTCAAAGCCTGCAGCATGCTGAATGCAGCAGTGGCAGATGTTAAGCAGCTTTCGTTTGTTCACAGCAGCCACAGATGTTGGAAAGGTATGTTGCTGTCCTAGAAATGCTAGTTTCCCTCCATTCGTCCTTTTTTTTTGTTTTAAAATACAGACTGCCATAAAACAAGCCGAGCTTCAGGGAGGTGTCCCAGTAGAAATACAGAAAGAAGAGCTTAAGTATCCCTTCATGATGGACTTTTTTTTTTAACTTAATTAGGCAAGATGTCATCACACTACATTTTACAAAATACAGAGCCACTGAGGCAAAGTTCAAGGGCTTTGTATTTTATAGATGGGTTTCATGAGCACTTAGCTGGACACTCATCCCCTTAAAAGCTAACTTTCCTCCCTCCTTCCCCCCAGTGTATGGGAGAATATAAACAGGACTCAGCCAGATTAGGAAGCGTGTAGGAAAGTTAGTGTCCTGTGTGAATTCTTTTGTCGCAACTTGATCAAAATTAGCTGGAATATCCCAGGATGTTTTTTTCTGAAGACCCAAGTCATTCTGCATCAAGTAGGTGCAGTTTTACTAACATTCAATTGTAAGATGTGTGTAGTGTTAGATCTAGTTTACTGCCATTTCTTCATAATTTGCCATTGGTAACTTTCCTCCAGCAGAAGAGGATCATTTTAGTACCTTCTGCTGGCTTCCCCATCTGTTTAACTCTTGTGCTTTAAAAAGTCTCTGCGAAATGATGTTGGCTAGCCAGGCAGGGCTTGATGCATCGTGCCCTAAGCCAGTCAGTTAACAGGTTCCTAAGACAAGATGGCTTGGCTCCACAGCTCCTAACCAAAAATTCATTGCCCTATACAAGCATCCCCCCTCAAATGCGATGGGATGTAATCCTATAAAATATCCTATACAAAAAGGGCCACTCTCTTGGTCTACAGACTTGAGATATTTAAAACTAGACATGTACATGTCACTAAGTAGGAAGGAAAGGGAAAAGCAGAGGAGAAGAACACATACAGAACACGACAAAGAAATAAAGATATGTTCAAGAAGTGATGCAACTAAAATACTGACACAAACACATACAGAAGAAGCTGGTACCTATTTAGCACTCGTCATTAAGACATTAAATACTAGACAAACAAATGTCAGCCAAAGACCAGTTATCCATAAATACCTCCAGCTACTGCCATGTCATAGGACAGTTCAAAGATAGGAGACTAAGCAGTGTGGTCTATGCAGAATGTTCTGCTAAACAACCTCCAATTAAGATGGAAGATTATATAAAATTATTTTACTGACTTTCTATTGGAAGAATATTAGTTTAGGCTAATCCTTATCTATTTACATATGCAAATAAACTACGGACATCACAGAAGATGCACAGTACACCTCAAGTATCTTGCAATTTATTTGCGAGTTGTTTACAAGCAACATTACAAAAAGTTTAATAATCTTGATAAGAAAATAAAATTTAAATAAAAATACATTTTCCACAATACATCCTTACACAAAATTCATACTACACTTAAAAAAAGATAATTTACAGTCCAAATAAAACTAATTACTGAGTAATTTTTCCATTCTAGGCTAATCAAACTGGAAGCAACTTTAATATTAGTGAACCTATTCATCTCTAAATTCAATTCTAGAAAACCTACTGCATTTTTAAAACACACTATAAAATGACAAATTTCAAAGGCCTTAGATTTCAAGAGGCCTACTTGTCTTTTATTTAATCTAGTACCAAAGCAAATAAAAAGTGCATTAAAAAAAAAAAGTTACAACACCGTAAGTTTCAATTTTGCATATGTTTGACTTCAAGAATGACAGAAATATACTTCAAAAATAGACATTTTGTAACAAGACTGCTCACCATACAAAGCAAAACCCAATACTGACACTCAAATTTAGGAAACCTTGCTCTTATGGCAAATAAAATAGGTCCTGTTGACCTTGAAAGAATGAGAATGGCCACGTCTCCATGAGACTCTGACTGTGCAGTCACTACTGTGAAGTAGCACCAACAAATGGCTTTTTCGTGATGCTGACCATGCAGTAGTGTAAGCCTAGCGCAGTCAGCGTATTGTGTAGATGCAGCCAATGTCAACAAGTTTAATTTTTCCTAATTTCAAATGATGGCAAAAAGTACTCCTTTATGAATACAACAAATAGTAAAGTAATGCAAAAATAGTTGTAGGTATGTAAAGTGGCCAGTAGCAAAAATTATGATGTTGCAGATATTGGTACCAAATTACAGATCATCTCAAATAGTTGTTTTAATATTAACAAAATGATTGTTCTAATCAGAGAACTGCATTCAGTTCAACATTGATTTCACTCCTGTGGTGCCAACTGGATTGCCTTTGGAGAAAGCCACCCTACCATAGTATTATAAACATGTAGTATTTCAAACAGCTTATGATTTCTGAACATTGTAGCTCTGTATGTCTATTGACAACTTACATTTTTAATTGACTTAGGGCAAATCAGGACTGAAAAAAAACCCAACCCACCCCAGAAAGTTTTTGAAAAATGAAATTTCATGTGTAGAAAATATGTTTTTAATGTTTTAAAAATAGTACCATAATACTGATGAAGCAAGGCTTAGCTTTCCTTTCTCCAAAGCACTACCTTGTTTCTATTGGTTATATCCATATTTTTTCCAGCATAAAAATAAATTCTCAGATGAAGTGAACAAGAATCAAATACTCTATAGTCCAGAATGCAGTTCAAATTTTTTCTGGGATCTGGCTAATAATAGAAAATCCATATACTTAGATATAAAAATATTCACTAAAGCACTGTTAAGACAACAGCACTGATCATTCAACTGATCATAAAGAGTAGATACTATAAAGTATCTAAAAATAAATCTGGGACAGTCCAGATCTCTAAAGTGCTCGGAGTGATTATTCAAAAACAGATTTAATATTATCAGGGGTGAGCTTGAGCTCAATTGCGGAAAAAAGTTGAACAAAGGAGGGGGGGAGAAGATATGAACAATATCTAACCAAAATCTTAACCTCTGCATTCTTTTCATTTGTAGGCAAGGATTGCTAATCTGCTTTTTTCAAATATCAAAAAAGTACCTGGTTCTTTAAAGAGGGAAAACAGATAGTGGTCTCATGTCACTCCACATATTACTCACCCCAGAATGTAAACAAATGTACAATACAATAATAAACTCCCTGATTTCTTCTTCAATTTTTATACAGATATAACAAAATTGGTATCTTCTATCCACAGAATGTATACAACATACTGCATGACATAACAAAACTTTGACTGCAGTTAATTCAAGAGTCCTGACATGCATTGAATCTGGAGCTTCAGATGCTTAAGTCATGATAGCTTGGGATTTTCATTGCAAGATCAATTGTTGGCAGAGCAGGCACTGATGGCAGACTAATGCAAGTTTGCAGTATAGTGAAAGAGATGCTTCAGTTGACATTTGTACTGTCCCTTAGAAAGCTTATTCTTTGAGAAAGTTCTTTCTGATAAAAAAAAGCAACTGCAGAAGCATTTATATTTACTCGCATCTGATAGTTCAAGATCCTGGAGTCAACTTGATTAAAATGAGAATCAACTTCAAGCTTAGATTCCGAAACAGATTATTTTCTCTATTAAATATTAAATAGATTGTCAACACAAGTAGCATTTCTGCTAACGTTCACTGTTAAATACTTTGGACAAGTATATACAATGAATAAAAATCCCAAACACCTAGTATTTCCAGTTCCTTCTGAAATATATAAATCATCCCTTGTTTTGGTTAGGAACCTTTTCCAACAATTGGATTTTCTCTGTAAAAAAAAAAAAAAAATGAAGCCACAAGTAAATACACTGATGACAACAGGTGCTTTTTGAATAATTATGCATCATAGAATTTTAATTTTGAATTTGTGTATAGCTTCTACTGTAGGTTAGGAAGTAGCATGGTTTACTGAAATTCTGACATTCTGTCCTGGGGTAGCCAACCTTTGGCTCACTTCCCACAAGTGGCAGAGAGGAACCCTCTGTGTGGCACATGACAGACTGGGTGGGAGCAGAAATCAGAGCAACAGATTGGGTAGAGAGCACAAGACAGAGAAGAAATCAGAGTAACAGATCAGTCAGGGCAAAGGGATCAGAATGGCACTTGGGGAGGATCCCTACCACAAAAGGTTGACCCCCCCTTGCCGTGCTATCACATGGAAGTTATAAGTCAAAGAGCAACTCTGGCCCAGAAAGATCTGTGCAAACAACTGGCACCACAAAATTAAGCTAGCAAACAGGAAATCAGTGTTAAGAGGACTCTTCTGTAACAACTCAGACTTTCCTGACAAAGGAGAAAAATATCTTACCAGGATAATATGAGAATATACTCCAAGGCCATGTCCAGATGAGCATAACCGTGTGGCACGTGGCACCACAGACCCATCTGCAGCACCACACACCACACATTTAGGCATTTCCTGTGCTGCCATCTTGCAGTGTGGGTTTTTTGTTGACCCCTGGAGATCCAGGGGTCAAAAACAGAGCACAGAAAAAAAGCAGGGCAGTGTACATGGAGGCAGCGCACGCTACCCAAAACTGGAGCCTGGCCAGCTGGAGCTATGCTCTGGCTGTCAGCCAGGCTCCATGCTGCAGGATCGCTATGGCTGCAGCTTCCCTGGCCCCCAGCATCCCAAGTAAAGCTGCTGGGGCCAGCACAGTTGCTTCCTCTACCCCAGCCAGGGTAACCTGCACAGGCATTCCCCAAGGACAACCAGCTGTGGCCCCAAGTGTGCTGTTGCTAGTTGTCGCCAGGGAACCAAACATCCGTGCTCGTCTGGATACGGCTCAGGTGGTCAAGTATGAAGTTCTAAGCTCACCTGTGAAAGGTAACCCACCTTGCATGACTGCCAGGAGTGTCAAACTGACAGATTATGCAGTGCTTTTTGAAGCAATAATTTCCAGAGGTGGTATGCTACATGACTACATAATATGGATGGTGGGCCAACTTGTCTAAATACCCAATCTTTCTAGCAGCAGCAGTAGTCATAGGATACTTTTTACAATAACATCCAAAGGCATCTCTGGAATTGCTCCCTACCCTGTGCTGGACACTGTGCTACAAATAGGGAGAAGACAAAAATCTGTTCCCAGCAGGGCTTAACTGAAGAGTTATCACCATGTGCTCAAATGCTCCTACCCACCCTCACACTCTTCTTTTTGCTCGTGCACACAGAATTACATATGATACTTACTCACTACCATATTTAGCACTAGATGATCTCGTCTTCTGATACTTTTCGTGTGATTCTCTCAGCTTCTCTACTATGGCTATTATTTGTTGAAGAGTATGGAAAGTTGCTACAGAGTCCTCAATGTTGAAGTTGGAGCAGTCATCAGGCTCTTTCTGTGGACCTTGATAAACTGCAGTACTTTCACAAGTCTCTGTAATGATCAACACAAACAGCAGATCACAGCGTTCTACTCCTAACAGACAAGGCAAATCTATTTGACTCAAAACAGGGATTTCAAAGTTTCTTTTAAATGCAGTTACTTTTAAATTAAATATAGGCTAATACAAAGAAATAAAAACAGTAAACTTGGTGTTAAAATTGGACATGATGGACAACTTGGTTTAGCTTTGTAGCTCATTGTCAATAGGGCTTAACTGGCTCATCACAGAAGGCTGGCCACTATTAGCACTGCCATAGAACTACATGTATTCTTGAATTGCTGCCATGCCACAAAGAACCCTCTTCTTCAGCTGTAATAAAACCGGGAGTACTAACATAAATTACTGTATGTAAAGATGAGATATAGTGACATGATAGTGACACTGTGTTCATCACTCCTGTTTTGCATACATGTCTGGATAGCACATTAAATGGAAGCTAGATATGGACAGGGTACATATTAGCCCAGATAGATGAAGAACAGTTCTGGGCGCCACACTTCAGGAGGGATGTGGACAACATGGAGAGGGTCCAGAGGAGGGCCACTCACATGATCAAGGGCAGCAGGGCAGGCCCTATGAAGAGAGGCTAAGGGACCTGAACCTGTTCAGCCTCCACAAGAGAAGGCTGAGGGGGGATCTAGTGGCCTGTTACAAACTAGTCAGAGGGGACCAGCAGGCACTGGGGGAGTCCCTGTTCCCCCAAGCACTCCCAGGAGTGACTAGAAATAACGGTCACAAGCTGGCAGAGGGTAAGATTCAGATTAGACATCAGGAGGTGCTACTTCACTGTCAGGGTGGCTGGGATCTGGAACCAACTTCCAAGCAAAGTGGTGC